AAATTCTGCAAAGGATGGCCAAAGAAAAACGTTGAAGCTACAGGAATTGACATTTTACCTGTGGAAGAAAAATCAGTGTAAATGACAGCTTTCATGATAAACTTGGAAAAGAACAGAGTATCACAGAGTTTTCAAAGGCTAGAAGAAAGGATATGTCTCAATTTGTGTCTGTCTATGGCTAAATTATTTTTCAAAAATTAATGCACTGTCAGAGGGAGAACCACTAACGTAATGTGTCACTAAGAGCTCTATTCTAGAGTATTAAGAGGAGGGTTTGAATAGCCACATTCCTCTTGTTCTAGTAAAGAATGACAGGTTTCCAACTCTTCACAGGGCATGCAAATAAGATGGGAGCTTAAAGAAGGACTGTTTACGTTTTTCCAAAAATAGTGTAGTTAGAAACTGGTTTAAAGGTCATTTAACAAGTTTTAAAATTATCTCCCCTTTCTGTACTTTAGTTCCTATAACATGAAAACATATTTTTAAAATTATTTCATTCTTGAAATAATGTCTTTGAGTGGCTGTTGTGACAGCCATGGTAATATTCTATTTGCAGAACTAGCCAGTAACCTGGCTGTAATATAAATGCGTAAAATATCCTTCCTCAGCTAAGATCTGTAACAACAATGAAATCATTTTGAATCTACAGGGGCCAATTTGCACTGCACAGGGTTCCTGGGTTCCTGGCTGTAATTAGAACATGGTGGCTGTTTTAGATGAGTTTTGGTTGCCATAGCAACCCCATATGCAACCTTTAGCTGCTGACCAGGGAACTATGCCATGTATCTGTTGTAAACTGCTCATTAGTCACTTGTCATTTATTTTCTGTTTCAACAATTTCGAATTGGCCCTTGAAGGAACCCATGTTTTTACAATTACTGAGAAAACAGAGCAAAAAGAAAAGAACACACATTTGCCTATACCCTTATCCCACTCTTGGCTGTTTCTGCTCAGGTGAAATATTGAGTATTTGTCTAAGCTATCACTAATATTATTTTGCATTTTCTGTTTGTTTGTTTGTTTGCTTTTACAACAGAAAATGGAAATTTTACTTTCTTCTGCCAAAAGTATTCCAAATTATGAGATCTCTTCATTTCCAGAAAAGATGATAAAACAACTCATAATCTACATGGTTTCACTATTATAAATTTTAATCATTAATATACTAAAGAGTACTTAAAGCTCAGTTGTAGATTCAAATTCAATTATCATTTTTGGTAGTTTGTTCTTTACAAATTCATACATGTGTACTGTATTCTACCCCCTCCCTGACTTCCCTTCAACCCTTACTAACCCTTCTTCTCCCTACAAACATCTTTTCTCTACTTGTCTTGGTTTTTATTCCGTGTCCTACAGAGTCTGACTAGGGTCATCAGAAAGGCCAATGTTAGAACTAATATCAGAGGTTTTTAAGGTACTGAATGTGTTGGAGACTTACAAAGAAATCTGGCCATTTTCTCCCATCATTACATCTACATTTCCTGAAAGCTAACACCTCACAAGCTTATATCCCTGTGGGCACTGTGTCAATACACTAAGCATATGCATAGCCTTGCACAGAATATCTTACAAAGTTATTGACATTATGTAAATGCTCAGCATAGTAATGAATATTTCAGCAACCACCCTAGAGAGCTTTGAGCAGGCACAGGAATTGACGGACCCAGTATTTACCTAAAACAAACCTGTCCTTTTCATTCTGCTTTCTCTATATAGTCTTTAAAAATACGAGACACTTGGTCTCATAACATAAGTATACATAAATCATGAGCAAGGCATGGGAGCACACATGTGTTATCCTTGCTGCTGAGGAGAGTGAGCCAAGAAACCCAGAGAGCAAGGTCACAATCCAGCAAGGTCTTTTAAAAAGATCACATTAGTTGATTATGAAAATTGGATTTTAATATTTTTAGCACATTAAATTTTAACAACAGTGACAGAGTGTTTACCATATAAGTAAACATTTACCACTTGAAAGTAGAAATAAGGGGTTATATGATAAGAATATTGTGATGCACACAGACAGGAAATTGCCTTTGGAACAAGTTGCCTTTTAATATCAATTCTATTAGCCAATTTCAAATTAAACCCTGGGTTCTAGAGTTTACCATAGATGGTATTCAGAGCTTGACAGTCTTGTATTATATGTAAATATAAAATACAAACTAAATTTTCATATGATATCTATATATCTGTGGTCATAGTCAGTTCCAAAGGAAACCCCAATTCCCTACCCTCCAAAAGGCAGTCAACATATAAAGAAATGAGCTCAATCTGGAAGATTTTGGTGGTTAGAGAAAATCCACTATTCACAATGAACTGGTAAAACTAGTTGTCATTTTGGGATATCTGGAGTACCTTTTTGGAGGTTAGAAAATTGGGGTTTCCTTTGTACCTGACAGCCACTGTGAGTGGAACTCGTCTCAGGTTAGGTTTCATATCACTCACTGAGTAGAAAGATACAACCACAAGACCTTTAAGACATGGTAAGCTCCTTTTAAGTCAAAACCTAACCTCAGTATTGAGAGCAATGAAGCTCCCAGACACAGCTGGAGACAGCCATCACTGTAATGATTTAAGCTCTTTCCCTTAGAGCCATCACATTCCTAAGTCAAAAGGGCATCCTTAGCTTACCAGGACAATTAGCATCTAATAAATGAGGGGGTGCCATGATTCTGATAGAGTAATTGATCATTTCCAATTAACTTCTGAGAAAAATCAATGGTTGCTTCCTAGAGTGTTTACATCAATTAAGTTGTGTCAATAATGAATACTTTATATCTACATTTTTAGGAGGAGTCATTCTGTTTATAACCTGTTTCTGCTTTTGAATTGTGGCATAAAGCATCAGGGTCAAAAATATCACAAAAAATAGTAAAGTTGAGAATTCATCCTCATCAGCAAAATCCTTTCTGTGGAGAAGTCAGGGATCTTAGACTGTGGCCCAGGCTAGCCTGGATTTCATATGCAGCTAAGTCTGGCTGGCCTCAGACTTGATCATGACATGATCATGACATAGATGAATGTTGATTCAACTCTGAGGCAATAAAGTAACTGTGGAAGGCTTTTAAGGCTGTTGGGTTGAAATCTGAAAAAGTCAGCACATATTGGGACTTGATTCTTGTTCAGATCCATTCTACTTAAGTCACTTCTAAAATGGTTTACACTTCTTAGATAGATGCCCCTGATGATGATGCTCTATTCCCATAATGATAGCATAATGATCAGCTACTTATGGCAGTCTGAGGGTCCTGGCTTTTCAAGAAGAAACAAGTCAGAAGTGGTCTTGTTCCTGCCATCATATTGTCCTGAGACATGCACATACAGAGTATATGCACAAGACTCAAGGCATGCAGCCTTTTGTTTCTGACCTCCATATACCCAGAAAGTTAGAAGGCTACTGAGTGTGGCGGGAGGCCTTCTCCTTGAGTTAATCTTCCCAGGGAATACCTCCATAGACCTTTCCAGAGGGCTATCTCTTAGTTGATTACATATCAAATCAGACAGACAACCAAGATTTACATCTCAAGAAAATAAACTCAAAACAAAAACAAATACAAAAGTCAAAGCAAAACACTACAAAACACACAAAGAAACAAAGTCTCATCAACCTCTCATCTTAAGGGACTTCTGAGATGCAGTGCAGACTATAAAAAGCAATCAGTGGCTGCCCTTGCAGAGGACACATATCAGACAGTTTACAGCTAACTGTAACTCAGCTCTAGGTGATGGACTTTCTTCTGGCCCCCAAAGACATCTATAGTCTTATGCAAAATCTACATACAGACACACATACTTACACATGATAAAATAAATCTAAAATAAGCATGTGAGATATGTCACATATATATGTGTATGTGCCAGGCAGATTTTAGAGAAAGGAAGCCAAATAAAATTTTGGATGAGTGATGTTTAAAGGTCAGTATTAAGGCCTGTATTACCAAGTCTGTACTACTGAGTATTACAGGCACTGTTGATGTAACATAGAGCACCACATCCAAGAAGAATCATTTGAATAAACAGAAACATATAGAAAGAAGAACATATTTCTTTCCTCATAGGCAGGTGACCAACCTCTCCAGCCTTGGTCCTAGAGAACCCATTGCAGCATACCAACTTCAGCCTATTAAAAGGAAAAATCTGAAGTAGTTCCTACTTGTATTTATTACAAGGTGCCCCAAAGCAGTGTAATAGATATACTTAACTACAGAGGAGTACGGAAAGTTTATTCTTATAGCTGGGTAGTAATTTGCAGGTAAAACCCAGGGCAGAATATCAGTCCAGGCAAATGAGTCACATGGGAGAGTAGTTTCCACAGCAGCACAAATGGACATGGAGACAGCCAGAAAGAGCTTTAGGGTGTGGGCAGCATAAACCTAGTATAGGCCCAGCCAGTCACAGGAGAGATTAGGAACATTAGGAGCATGGAGGAAATGGTGAAGATGCAGATGGTGAACCAAGGGAACTCGGTGGCTGGCTCTTTGATCAGCTCTCTCTGAGGGCTTGGCAGACCTGCCAGACCACAGAGGAAGACAATGCAGCCAGTCCTGATGAGACCTGATAAGCTAGGGAAAGAGGGAAGGGGAAGAAGACCTCCCCTATCAGTGGACTTGGAGAGGGGCATGAGAGGAATGAGGGAGGGGGCTACAGCTGGGACACAAAGTGAATAAACTGTTATTAATATAAAAAATAAAAAATTAATAAAAAATAGGAAAAAGGCTACTTACATAGGAACTGCAGCCTGAGGACACCGTTCTTCTCCAACAAGGAAAAGGAGACAAATGAATTGACACAGTGAATGATAACCAAAAATCATGTACACGGCAAAACCACCTTCCAACATGATCAAGGCAGGCAGTTGTAGATACAAATTAAAATGTTTATCACTATGAGATGATTCTCAAAAGAATCCTAGAAACAGAAGAAATAAACAAAAACTAGTAAGTAAATGAATGAAAGTATAATCGTAGAACTCACAAAATCATCTGAAATGGAGCTGATAAAACTAAAAAAATCAAGATTTACTTTACTATTTAAAACTTTGGTTTCTCCTGCAACAACCGAAAGTAAAACAGCATGAAATAAGCTACAAATGAAAGGCATCAGGACTAAAAATTCAAAACCACAGGAACAGGAAGATACAGAATTTAGCTGTATGTACTGGCTCACACCTGTAATCTCAGCACTTAAGAGGCTGAGGCAGGAGAATCCTCTAGGAGTCTGAGGCTAGCATGGGCAACAGTGAGTTCTGGGCCAACCAGGGTTAGAGTGAGACTCTAAAACAACAAAATAGAACTGCAGAGTGTGTTAGTCGTTACTCCTGTTACATTTGCACAAAGCAATCCAAGTCAGAATACTTGAATTGTAAATATAAAAGATGGTTTACACAGATCAGAGCTAGAAAAAGGATTCTGACCACAGGAAAATAAAAATGTGGTATTGTTCTCTTTGGATAATCTCAGTTGTTTATACTCAGGGTTTAAGGCATAATTAAAATTTTACATTATATATCCTTTTGCTCTAGTTCCATGTCTGGAATTGGAAATTAAATTTTGATTTATGGATATTTACCAAAAATTCTTACTTTGAAATATCTCAAACATGGAGAAAGTATGTTGATCCCTGCAAAGTATTTTGCAAGTTATTTACTAACAAAATCACCTAGTAAGTTTGGAACATTAAAGCCGACAAAGCTGGGTGATTTTGGTTTTTGAGACAAGGTTTCTCTTTGTGCAGCCCTGGCTGTCCTGGAACTTGCTCTTTAGACCAGGCTGGCCTCAAACTCAAGAGATCTGCCTGCCTCTGACTCAAAAGTGCTGGGATTAAAGAACTGCACCACTACTACCGGCGAAGTCACCAAACACTCCAAATAGTCTCCATGTAGCAACCTCGAGGAAAACCAGAATCGATTATTTAAACACCTTAATGATGACACAAGGTTAGAGCTACTAACTTGATAAACAGCAGAAGCCTTGATTCTCTAACTAGTTTGATTCCTTTATCACCCAAATACCCAAAGGGATACATTTACTGAGCTCTAAATCCTTAGTGTGTACTCAAGATGCTTTAGACTAATATGCTATTACTTTGACTTTCGGAATAGAGACTCACACAAAAGAGGAACAAAACTGTTGGAACAACGCAACCTTAATGCACATTAAAGTTGGTAAACAAGTTGAGAACAGCAAGTCTAAAGCTTAAGTTCTAGCTCAGTCAGCTTTGAAACTAACATGTGATGCTACAATATTTGCTGTTTAAACAAAACTTTTCACCACTGAAGTGAAGAGTGTCAGGAAATAAGAAAAGTAAATCTTATGGATAAAAAGTGGCCTTGGAAAATTTAAGGCTGCCTTTTTTTTTTTTTTTTTTTTTTTTAAGGTGCATGTAGTTTTAGTATTCTTACAAAGTAGCCTTATAGGAAACAAGCTGAAAACTCCACGGCTTTACGGATACTTCAGAGTGTGGGGATGCAGCTCAATGCCAAGTACTGTCTAACATGGGCAGTAATCCACCACCAGAACGTAACACTATGTCAAGTATCTAAAAAAACTCAAACATCACTTTAAAAAATATTTGTATTTGCATTACAAACCACTTAAAATTGTAAAACGTAAATAATTAGGTTTGGGGAACATGTAGGACAAGGCGGTGGTGAGAACACAGGCGTTTTGTAAACTGTATAGTCAAATTGTAGCTGTATAGTCAAATTGTGCATAAAGGGCAGAGGCTTTGGCGAAAGGTATGCTTGTCGTTCCCTCCGTGGGACAGGTCTGTCCAGATGCTCAGCCTGGGACCTGAGAGCCTCCTCCTGAATGTTCCCACACTAAACCACCATCAGGCAGGGCCAGCAAGAGGTCTGTCCAGATGCTCATTCCGGGAACCTCAAAATCTCCATCAAGGGCCTTGAAGGAGCGCACGGTCGCCAACACCTCTTCCTGCAGGGGTGGTTGTTCGAGGCACAAGCTCTGCAGCCTTAGGCAAAGCTCCTCCCAGGGCACGTCCTCCAGGTGCATGGGGACCCAGGCGCCCGTCTGCAGGTCATAGTGCAGCCGCCTGGCCCACACTGTGAGCAGGTACAAGTAGGCTCGAGCCAGTTTGGGGTGACGGCCCGCCACGGCGGCGAGGCGCTTAGGGGGCAGCCGGCGGCAGAAAGCAGACAAGAGCTCGGGGCTGTCTAGAAGCCAGTGCAGCAGTTTCTGTGTGTCATCCGCGCCCGCAGGGTCTGCGGCCTGGGCTGGCTCCAGGCCGGTCTCGCGCAGCAGGGCTTCGCCGACCACGCACAGCACGTGCTCTCGAGGCCCGCTCGCCCACAGCGTTCCAAGGAGCTGGCGAGCGGCGGGGGAGTCCGCGCCGCCCAGGTCGCGCAGGCGCGCGCACAGCAGCTCGGAGTGCGTGCGCAGCAGCGCGCCCTTGGGCGCGTCCCCGCCGAGGCGGAACAGCAGGTGCAGCGCGCTCCCGCGGCGCGCCAGCAGCGCCAGGCGCGACTGCGGCACGTCGTCCTCCCGGTCCGCCGCGGGGCCCGGGAACAGCAGGCTCGGCAGCGCGTGGGCGGCGGCGGGCGCGAGCGCGCGGTTCCGCAGCAGGCGGAGGGCGAGCCGCACGTCCCCGGACTCCAGCGCCGCGAAGCTGCGCAGCCCGAGGGCCCCGCCCGGCGCCCGGAGCCGCCTCTCGATCGCCTCCCGCGCGCGGCTGCTACCGGCGAAGCGTCGGTACACGTGGAGCAGATAGCGCGCCCACTGCAGTGCCCTGCGCACGGTCGCTGCATCCCACGTGCGCACCTGCGTCCCGCAGGACACGGCCAGCACCTCCGAGAAGCGCTCTAGGTGCTGCACCAGAGACTCCATGGCGGCCGCTTCCGCCCTTACCTTCCGAGGCGCGAGCCGATTGGACGTAGGCTTGAGAGCCCGCCTTAGCATCTCTGCCATTGGACGTCGCTACTGTCAGTCTCGCAACAGCGTTTCCGGGTCCGTTGGCGCTAGAAACAAACCGGAGGGGAATTGCAATTTACCACTCCAGAACTGTGAGAGAACGCTGGAGCTCCTGTGTGTGCGCAAGGCCTTTACGTGACCTTTTGCCTTGAAAATGCCCTTGGTAGACACGTCGGGCGCTTCCCCGGAAGGGGCCTGACTTTCATCGTCACTAGCAGTGCGGATGTGCTCCGCGTGTGAACCCCAAGGTCTTAAGTGGCCCATTTTTTCTGTTACTCGGCTGGACAAGCATACTACACAGAGCCGCATCCCAGGGAGTTCCTTTTTTTTACTTATTTAACTTAACTGTTCTGAGGAAACCTCTTAACTGTGACGTTACTGTCGCAAGGCTTCCTCGTCAAGCAGTAAATGAAAATTTTAAGCCCAAATTAACCCGCTTATTTATGCCAGCCTCTGCAAAATTCTGGGCTTTCTTATCATAGCATATAGGTAGGCCAGATTTGTTTAGTTTAGTCTGATAACTCAGACTGTATTGTTTGGCCTTGTAAGTTTGTTTTAGGCTACCTGTACAATGGGTGTTTTAGGAATTACAACCAATGGAGCAGCCACATTCTAGCAGGTATTCGGCGGTCACTGGTTCACTCGCTCATTAAGTACTTAAGATACTTGCTGTGATAGCGTGTAGAGGACAGGACTAGAACAATAAAGATAAGTATGGTTAAATGTTACCCTGTTCCACGCTAACATTCCATTTAAGGAGACTTTATATGTGGCAGACAAAAATAAGACTCACTAGACCTTGGATGTTTGGCAAAGCCTCATTAAACCCTCTTTTCAACTGACTGCCCACAGGACAGGCTCGGAAAAGGCCATGAGAACCAAGCTACCAGAGTGAAAAACAGATCTAATGTAGGATGAGAAAGAAGTCCAAATCTGCTTTATTTCCATGTGGCTGGTACAGTGCAGAGAAACCTCGCCAGCTCCACCCATTCTGGTCACCTTCTCAAACCTGTTCTACATTAAGTCTTAGCACCACAGTGAGTATTCATTTCAGAGTAGCCATTTTTTATTAAGTAGCTTTGCATGCCTATGACAGTTTCCCAATGGAAGAAAACACTATTTTGGAGTTGGAACCACTATTCCATATAATTTGGCAGAATTCATCTAGAGGTTCAAATATGTTAAGTACCAAACCTATACACTTGAGAAAGAAATTAGGAAGACCCCAGACTGACTTAAGTATAATGCAGATCAGATTTTGTTTGTTTTTTAAATTATAAGTATGTTGTTTTTTAAAGACCAGTTGGAAATGTATAGGAGAGTGCTAGAAGGTTCTTTGGGCTGATCTTTGATTTAGGCCACAAAAAAATGTTTTTACCAAAAAAAAAAAAAAAAAAACAAAAAAAAAAATGTTTTTACCATCAGGGGATAATGAAAAATCACGTGAGAGGAATCACAGACATTAAAATGTCAGCATGAGATCTGTACAGTGTGTTCTGGGAATGCCACAGCAATCTTCCATGTGCTGGTTACACTCTGCAAATTTCTGATATGTAGTGAATTAGAATTTATTACAATAGCATTTCATTCAAACCACAAGGGTTGAGTGACAAACAACTAAGAAAAAAAAAACACCTTCACAAGGAGCTTACCTCAGAGGACTCTGGAGAGGAAGGAGATCATAACATAACATACTGGTGTGGATTTTTGTTGCTGACTTTCAATATATGCTCTGTGGTATTTCAATAAGAGATGTCCTCCATCTGCACTGGTATTTGAATATGTGGTTTCTAGTTGGTAACAATGTTTAAGAAGGGATAAGAGATGAGGCTTTGCTGGAGGAAGTATGTAATTAGGTGGGCTTCCAGAGCTTAAATCCTTATCTCCTTCCACTTTCATCTTTCTCTGCGTCATGTTTGCAGGTAAGAAAGTCAGCTTTCAGCTTTCTGCTTCTGCTACTAGGCTTGCCTCCTGTTACCTCACCTCTGGCCCTGATGGACTCTTGCCTCTCAGGAACCCTGGAACCTGTAAGCTTAAATAAACCCTTCTATAAGTTGCCTTGTTTAAGATGTATCATAGCACCAGAAAGTAACGATGCACATATCCCATTACTGTCATTGTACTTTGGGATAGTGATACTAGCTCAGCTCAACAGGCAGGGTCAGAAAATGTAAGCTGATCACATTAATGGAACCCTGCCTTAATTTACTAATTAGTCTAGAAATCCAGCCTTAAGCCTTTCCATCTATAACATTCTCTACTAACTAAAATAAGTGCAGAAGTGGCTGGAGGAAGTAACTGCAGTCATTAGGTGTGGGGCTCTGCTGAATAAGGGTGAAGTCTGTTGTCTCTGGATAGCCAATTATTTGCCTTCTGTCTATGCTGATAGACTCCCTTTTCTCAGTGGGATTTTAAAGTCGCCTCTGATCAGGATGATTCCAGGTCTTGTTAGGAGGTCACATAGCCCTCAAGGCAGATTATAGGCCAGACCCTTCCCCTGATAAGGGCTTAGATTTCATCTGGGGTCCTGGTCTTTGGTTTCCAGACTGAGAACAGGGGAAGGAGGTCATTTCTCTTAGGGGCAGCTAGAGGGCTTTAGGGTGAGGCCAGGGTGTGGAAAAGGTTTTAGTGCACTAAGGCAGAGTATGGAAAAGGTTTTCCATGGAGTGTTACAGTTTAATCCTTTTAGCATGACGTTGAGTGGCAATGGAAGCTGGGCATTCCAAAGCTCCTGGTGATACCAAAGTGTTACAGTTCTTGGTCAAGCTGCTGTGCTGAGCACTGCAGAGGTGTGCGCCAAAGCCCATGCCTGGTTGGCTTTTAGCCAAGGCCCAGGTCTGGTGAGGGCCAGGCCCAGTGGACTAGAGGATAGACCCAATGAGACATAACTCAGTATAGGATAAATGAGGGATCTCAGAAATTGCAAACCTTTATTCATGCGACATCAAGGGCAATGTAAACCCTTGGCAGAGGGTGGGATTTCGAGGATGAATGTAGTTGATTCACTAGGGTCAGGGAGTCAGGGATACTTAATGATCAGATCATAAGAAGGAAAGTGCAGTACTTAATTATCCTATGGGGAGACACATCTCCAAGTACAATTGAAGGTCACTGCTTGACTAAGATCCTTAGCAGGGTGGGCTGTTTCTAGGAATTCCTATATGCTTGCTAGAACAGTTTCCTTAGAAGGGTCTGGTCTGTAATCTGCCCTGAGGGCTATGTGACCTACTTACAAGACCTGGAATCACCCAGATCAGAAATTGGAGTCTATCTTCATAGACAAAGCACAAATAATTGGCTATCTGGAGATGACCGACTTCAGACTTATCCAGAAAAGCCCAACAATTAGGTCAGTGGGATTCAGAAAAAATTTTCTTATTCTAAAGTCAATAGTGAATTGATGCTAATGAGACAGTTTCTTTCCCAGAAAGAAAAATTGATAGAGCATAGTCCTTAAGCTGGATCTGCTTACAAGTGTGGGACTCTATACATTTTCAATTGCATTTGACAATTTTGAGGGCTTTTTAATTTATTTAATTTAAATATACGTAGGTATTACAAGCCTCATCTTACAGTGTGTGGCTCATAAACTTTGGCTGGCTTGGATTTGTTAATATGTACGTCTGCAGACCTTGGCATGGTCAGCTTCCCATTCTACTCTTTGCAAATACGGAACAGCAACCGTCAGCATTGTCATGAGCAGTAGTAGAGGAATCTTTATCAAACATGCAGCTGGCTCCTGTAGGGTTTGTTTTTGATTTTAAATACTGTCCAACACAATATTTTGATTTGAAATTTTGAGTTGACATTATTTCTTACTGGGTATAATTTGGAGTCTTGTTTTAAGATATGCAGTAAGTGAGAAATCAACATATTGCATAGCTGAGAAAGCAACTCTCTTATCAGTCTGTACAATGCTGCCCACTCGTCTTGCCTTACCCACAGCTTGTTTTGCATAGTTCTAGCTACCCAATGCCAAACACAGTCTGAAAATATTAAACAGAAAATTCCAGAATAGACAGTATGTTTTAGAGGCGTTTTTAAGAGTGTGATGAAATCCCCACACCATTCTGCTTTGACCTACTGAGGAGGACAGGAAGCATCCTCCTGACTAGTGTGCCCAGTCCCCATCACTGGCAGTCACTTATTGGCTGCCTTGGTTAGAATATGAAACGTACCCCACACACTCATGTGTTTTGTTTGAACACTTTGTCACTAGTGAAGGGTGACAGGTGGTTAGGTGATGTTATTTAGCTTAACATGATGATCTCTAATTCCATCTTCTTTCCTGAAAATGATATAATCCAGATGATAGACATCTTGGCCGATTCCTTATCATACATGGATAAGACCTTTTGACAGAAGGTTAGGTTAGGCAACCTTTATGTGGCCAAGCCTTACTGGAGGAAGTCACTGGGTAGGCCTTGGGTCTTATAACCTGACCCCAAGTTCCTGTCTTCTCTGTTCTGACTGCTGATAGTGTGTCCAGTTACTTCAGGCTTCTGTCCCCAAACCTTCCCCATCATGACAGTTAGAGCTCCACCAAGACTGAAATATGTGCTAAGAAAAATTTGCTTGGATTTGCAATTCATCCACATCGTAACAGTAGCACTTAACCTCACAGTGCTTTTAAGGGGACCAGAAAGAACTTTGATTTAAGTAGAGTCACATTCTTTATAAATTCTGAATGCGATTAGAGAAACATTACTGCTAGAGCTGTCATTTCTGGTTAATGATGACTCAAAAGTATGAAGTGAATTTTTTTGTGTGTGTGTGTGGGGGGGGGGTGCGAGGGAATAATAGATACTTTCTATTCTTTTGCCATTTTGAGTGACCAGGGCCCTGGAACACAGATTTTAGTTACTCCAAATTCCGTGGTCTAACATGAAGGCAGTTTTAAGTGTTGGGAATTTTTATATAAATCAATATTTAAAAGCTTTCTTCTACGTTCTTATTCATGTTTGATGGAATCGGCCAAGATGTGTATCATCTGAATTATGTTATTTTAGAAAAGTAGATGGAACTGGAGATCATCATGTTAAGTAAAACAAGCCAAACTCAGATCAGAATGATGCATATTGCCTGTTTTTTCTATTGTAAAGACTCTAGATTACATAAATATATATTATATATGACATGAAGGTAGAAGGGCAATCATTTAGGTTGGTTTGATGAGAATTGTTTTCTATATATAGTCTGTCTGTAGGTGAGGTTATGGCGCCTTTAGAAGGTGGAGCCTTGCTGGAAGAGTTACATCAGAGCTGGGGTGAGTTGTGAGGGTTTGTAACCGTGCTCAACTTCCTGCTCCTTCTCAGTGCTTTCTGTATGCTGCTGAAAATGTGGTCAGCCAGCTTCCTGCTCCTGCTACCCTGCCATGCCTTCCTGCTATGATGGACTTTATCACTCTGACACCATAGGCCAGAATAAACTCTTCCTTAAATTATCTTTGTCATAGTATTTTACAGCAGCAGCAGAAAGGTAACTAATACAGGTAGTAAGGGGACCAGTGAGAGGAGAAATGTGAGAGGGTAATGGGTTGTGAATATAGAGGAAGTAAAAATGATAGACATATGATGATGTTTCAATGAATCTATTGTTTTGTAGAAATTTAAAATCATTTTTATTTATACGATTATATTCCAAAGAGTTTTTTTTCTCTGTAAACCTAGTGATTTATATATGTCTTTCAAATGTTCTTTACTTGAGTGTCTCTTGCTTGGATGTGAAAGCCTGGAAACATTGCTCTAACATAGTCCAGAGGCCACACAGCATGGTAATGGAAAGTGCATTGGGTTTTAAATTTTCTGATTTAGATTTTTGTAAATAGAAAAGAAACTTAATGCTTTCCTTTCTCTTCACTAATGTATTTTCTTCCTTCTTTTCCCCCTGTCCTGAGCAGAGGATTGTGCATCATCATGACAGCCTTAGACCTCTGACTTTCTGCTGAACTAACCAATAAGAGACATTAGCAAACAAGCAGGAGAACCAGGGTGCGCTGTGTTGGCTTGGGCTGCAGGCATCATTCCTGCAGATGTTC